GTCAGGGCCTAACTGCTGGGAGCTTCCGATTCTTACCGTTTTTTTTCCAAATATTTCATTTCTCTCTCTGACAGCCTTCAAACTGCCTCTTGCAAATACTTTTCTCTCCACATTTCAGTGGACTTTTCTCTCCTATCCAATTTGAATCATTCTCATTTCTCTTTATTTTAAGGCCTCTTTTTTCATATTCAATCTCACCCAGAAATTAAATCCTCCTTTAGTCAAAGGAGCAATGAAGCAACTCAGCTCAGGGTCCCAGAGCTGGCTTAGCAGGTGGGGTTATTGTCCACTGGAAGGAGATGCTGTTGCTAACAGGTTGCAGTGGCTGGAAGCTTTCCTTAGTCCCTAGCAAAATGGAGGCCAGCAACATAGCAGAGTGCCTCCTTTTCCTGAACTATGTCCCCACTATCCATTGTTGTGGAAACGTCCTTCCATGCTTGGGATCCAGGGGCAGGTGACTCGGTTCCCCTCCAGCCTCTGAGTCCCTCTGTGGCACCCACAAAGCTTTGAAGAAAACCACCTGTGCCTCCTACGTTCTCCAGGAGCCAGTTCACACTAACAGCTGTCCACCTGCTCTCTAAGGCTCTGGTGTACATCTCCCACCCCTCAGCCTTCTCTGAGCATCTTCAGATGACAAGGGCCCCTGCCTGCCTTCCCTGTAGTTGGCATGCCCAAGCCCTCCCCGCACTGTCTGAGGCCTCCACCTGGCCCCCAGCAGTAGTGGTCACTCGTAAATCTACTAGCGGCCATGAAAGTCATCTCTTTCTTGATGTGTATATATTGAGCGCTTGTTGTATACCAGAGCTATTAAAATGGCTAGCTATGATTCCTGCCTTAGGGGTATCTGGGGAAAGAGGAAAACAAGTCCTCGGGGCATTGCAGGCTGCTCTGTGCTACCAGAGGAACAGCAGGACACCCCATCTAGCTGGCCGCACTCCACCCCAGGATCCAGTCAGCTGCCCTCCTGTAGGGAAGAGATCCTCGTTCTTTTTAAAAGAATCCTGCAGGGCTGTTGCAGAGTGGAGACTACTGTGTCCTGGAAGGATACAGGCTTCAGAATCAAACCATGGGGCCACAACCCCAAGGGGATCCCTTAAAGACACTCCATCACACCCACACCCACCCTGCCACCTTTGGTACACAGGACCCCTTTCCATTTCCCCACACTGACCCCCCAGGGCAGCTTTTAGGAACTGCTTGGCTGTGTGGTTGCATGCAACAGCGCTGGCCACTTGTCAGGGTCCCCTCTCCTCCAAATGTCTGCCCTGGCCCTGCCAGCCAATTGCTTGGGTCCCTGGGAGCTATGTCAGGCATCGGCCATGGCCACTTGCTCAGCTGTTGCCCAATTCTGGTCTACTCCTCTGGCCTGGAAACCGAGCAACCCAAGCCTCATGGCTCAGAACTGCCCTGGAAATTCTTGGACTTCCTGCCAATCCTCCGAGCATATTCAGGGCAGAGGGGAGGCCTCCCACCACAGGATAGGGCCATCCCCAAGAGGCCTCCACCACGGGGCCCCCACCCTGCTCCCTCGACCCCCATCATGCTTCCCGGCCCTTTTTTCCTTGACCCATAAAAGGAGAACGTTTTATGTGCTGCCAACAGTGGTGAGCGTAAGGGCTGGTTCTGAAGGTGAGCTAGGTTTGTTAGCTCTTTCCTCGCACCTGAGGAATCTTTTGGAGGCTGAAAATAGTGTCCTCAACAAATAGGATCAGAAACTCTTAGAAGTCATGGAGTCTTGTGTTGCTATTTTTTTCTTCTTAGTTTCCTGGCACCTGATAATGGTGCTAGGCACCTGGGAAATAATAATGTCAGGGTGGCATTTACTGGCCAATGGTTCAGACTGACATATGGAGTAGGCCCCATCCCAGCTTTGGGACTCCTTACCTGTGTGACTTGGGACAACCTACTTATTCGGGTGCATGTCCTTCTGGAAATAAGTGGGCTAATTCAGTCATTGGACAAAGATCTGTTAGACCTAAAGCCTAATCAATATTTCAGCTTATGAAAAATGAGTAAAAATAACGTGATTTTGGAAAAAGGTGGAGTGGAGCCCACAGGACCTGCTCATGAATTGGATGTGGGGCAGAGAAGGAACACCTGGGGTTCTGGGTTGAGCACCTGTGGATGTGGGTATGAGAGGCTCATGTTTGGGGAAGGATGACAGGAAAAATATCTCTGGGACAAAGCCAGTCTGAGATGCCAGTAGACCTTCAACAGGAGTCTGCCACTAAAGGTGAGAGACAGCATTTTGGAGTCTTGGGGTAGAGTTGGCATTTGAACCTTGGGGTGAAAGATTCTCCAACGACAGAGAGTCATGGAGAATAGCAGAGGTGCAAGCTGAGCCCTGGAGCAGCCGTGTGCCCAGCGTGGGCAGAGAGCATGGTCCCATGCAGGACTGAGGGGGAGGCACCCCTGGAGCCCTTCCTCCTACCCTGGGTCCCACACTGGCCAGGTCCACAGAGGACCCCAGAGTTCTCAGAACCACTGACCACCATGAGCTCAACAAACACAATGGTGGCCAAGAAAAACAGTCGAAAGAATTGCTCAGTGCGCCTGCAGTTTTAGTGGGGCTTTGTCAGCCAAGGAAAAGTTTTCTTGCTGGGAAAACAAAACAAAACAAAACAAAAAATCCACGTGGGAAAGGCTTCCGGGCCAGGGTCATTGGAAAGCCTGGTGTCCATAGCCACCTCGAAGTCTCTTAGGCCAGGCCAGGCCATGCAGCAACACACCTCAGCTAGTATTAAACTTTCTGAGCTAAAAATCCAAGGCCCGCCCTGCGGAAACAGGCCCTGTACCTGCAAGACCTTTCCACTCGATGGGTTCCCAGGAGCTGAGGATGTCTCCCAGCCCTGCTGCTCTGCTGAGCAAAGATTTTCCTGTAGCTGAGAGGCTCCTTGCACAGGGGCTCAGAGTGCAGCCTGCACCATTGGAGTCAGACTTGAACTTGGTGTGTGCTTTCCTGCCCCTGGCCTCTACTCTCTCGTTCCTGTTTCCTACAATCAGATTTGAAGAAAAGTGGTTTCTCAAAGCAGTAGCCTCAAAGCCAGGGAAAGCCCACTGACTCTGATATTTTTTCCCCTCTGTCCTCCTGGTAGACCTCTCATTGTACAGACTGTAGATCAGTGACTTGGGGAAGTGAGGTTTGTTTGTTTACAATTTAAAGACTATTTTTTTTTTTAGTGAAATTTTAGGTTCACAGCAAAATTGAGAGGGAGGTACAGTGTTCCAGCCTTCCTGCACCCCACCTGCACAACATCCCTATCCCCAACCAGGGTGGAGACATTCGTTCAACTGATAGACCTACAGTGACACATTGTAATCACCCTAAATCCATAGTTGACATTAGGGCTTGATCTTGGCCTTGTACATTCTGTGGCTTTGGACAAACATACAATAAAGTGCCTCTGTCATTATCCAGAGTGTTTTCCCTGCCCTAGCCATTCTCTGTGCTCTGTCTATTGTCCTACCTTCTCACCCTAATGGGGCTGTCTGAATGTAGAACTTAGCTCTTCCAGGATATGGGGCTGTGGCTATGTCAACTGTAACTCACATGAAGGCACCAATAGAAATTGCTTTTGTTATATATCAGCATTTTATAGGCCATAAGGTTGTCACCAAGCTAATGACAAAATTTGTCATGTCCCTGGCATGAATGGCAATTTCTTCTTAATGCCACTTGCAGACCATGGTGATTCCCTTGCAGTTCCTGTGCCACCTCCATCCAGGTGTCCTCAGGCCCCTTTCAAGAAACAGGCATTTGACCTCATGTAGGAGATGAGTGGTTTGTGACACATGCTCAGAGGGTTGGGGAACTGACCACCTCCCCCAACTCTGTAATGCTATATTTACAATGTCACACGGAGAGCCTTTTCTGTGTGCTTTTAAAGCAAACATAGATAGATGAAATATGAACACTGGTAAGTTTAGGAGAGAGTCTTTGCACAAAGCTAAGTTGCATGCTGAGCATTTTTCTCTGGGGCCAGCAGCAGCCTGATGTGAGTGGGTGTGTGAGAATCACACGGAGCAGTGGATGTCAGTAATCTGCTGAGCAGTCAAGAGAAGCACTGTGCCGTCACTTGCAAAGGAAAGAACAAATCACAGATGCACTACAGACTGTGGGATGCTCCCCAGATGGGAGGCCTGGCTGTGCCCCTGGGGTACCGTGGGGTCCTGACAGGTGGAAGTGCAAACGCAGCGTTGTCACAACAAATGCTAGAAATATACACAACACCAGAGGCCACACACGCAGTGGGAGACCTGGACTCAAGCTCTAGCCTCACTGCCTCTGAGCTGGCTGGCCCCTTGCAAGAAAGTCTCCCATCTCCCTGAGCCTCGGTTCACTCATCTGAAAACAGGGCAGGTTTTCACTTTCCTTATAGGAATGTTTTAGAATGTGTTCACGAATGTGATGAGTGTGTGTGCAACACTAACTGGGACGGGAGAACTGAGGAGTGTCCCTCTGTCTTGTTCCAGCCCTTGGTGGCCTCTCTCTGTGACCACTAACTGCACCAGGTGGTCACCCAATTCCACATCTGGCCCCCACCCACCCAGCCTAGCCCAACCTCTGCCATCGAGTGGCCTTGGCAACATCTTCAGGGAAGATTGTTCTGTGAATTCAGAGTTGTCTTTTAGAAAGAGGGAATTCTTTAGTTTTCCAACAAGAATTTGTACTTTTTTTTTTTTTTTTTTTGGCAGTACTGGGGACTGAACCCAGGGCATTGCACGTGCTGGCCAGCGCTCGACCACCGAGCTCCACCTCAGCCCTGTACTCCCCGTTTCTTTCTGTGTACACTTAGTTTTTTGAAACAGCTGAATTCTGTTGGAAGAATAATTATGTTCCTGAAATGTCTCGATGTGAATAAGCATCTCTCTGAGTGGTTATTTTGGAAAAATGTAGTATGATATTTTTATATGATCAGGGTATGGGGGAGGGGCTCCCTCCAGTAAAAAGACATTTTATTAATTGATTTCCACTCTTTTTCTTCTGCCTCTCATTTCAGAACGGTTTGATCACCACTGTCCCTGGGTAGGCAACTGTGTGGGGAAAAGAAACTACAGATTTTTTTATATGTTTATTTTATCCCTGTCTTTTCTGACAGTCTTTATATTTGCATTCGTTATCACCCACGTCATTCTTCGTAAGTATGCTGACGAAATCAGATTACGTATGTAACCATTTGCCTGACTTTGGTTTCCTGATTTGATTTTGATTTGATACTTTGATCATTTCGGGCTCTCTCTTCCTTCTCTTTCCCCTCTCCCCCTCCTCACTTCTCGCCTGCCCCCCTTTCCGTTTATTACTCCTCCATCCCTCCTCATCCCTCCCTCTTCCCCCACCCCATCCTTCCAACGGCAGTTTCCTGGGTCACACCCGGACCAGGTGTTGCTTCCACCAACAAGACTGTTTCCGATACACCTGTCCCCTTTCCAACCTCAAAGACTTCTGCTAAGGGATCCTCTAAAAGATTTATCCCCACATTTTGCACAAAGGACACTGGGCCACAGTGACACATTAAATAGCAGAACCCAGCTCCTTAACACAGGAAGCACCTGCCCCAGGAAACACGTCTGGGTTTCCTTGTGCACATACCTGGGTATGTTAAAAGTACACATTTAATGATATACTCAGTTGTCCACTAGAATATGAGCAAACTACCCCCCGGCATATAGAGAAAGCAACTTTATTAAAGGTTAAGACTTCAGGGCTGGGGCTCAGCGGTGGAGCGCTCGCCTAGTGCGTGTAAGGCCCTGGGTTCGATCCTCAGCACCATCTAAAAAATAAATAAATAAAAAATAAAATAAAGGTATTGTGTCCAATTAAAAAATAAATATTAAAAAAAATTAGACTTGGATGAATAATGATCTTAATATATTTGCCTAAGCAAATGGAATTTTTTGTTCTCTATTCCAAAAGTCGTAACTTTGAGTTTCTTCGTCTCCTGATCATTAACTTTCCTACAACAGGCAGTGATGAGAAGAAGGAAGTTAATTGGCTTTGAACTAGAAATTCAAACCTTTAAACTTCAATTACAGTACTGACAGCAACATTGAAGACCATCCATGACTCTCATCCACATCCCTGAAGTACAGCCACCCACTAGCAAGTGCATGGCCTCCCTCTAGCATGTTTCCAGCAGCGTCTGGACACAGCCTCACCTTCTGCCTGCTTCAGTGCGGACACACAGATTGAGCATGTGGGGTCTCAGCTGGGGTGCACTTCCCTCCCTTATTTTTGGGTGGGGTCCATGTGCAACGGGGGAAGTGTAGGTACAGAACAATTTGCATTACCTCTTGTGAGCATTAGTCCAGTGTGGACACTAAACAGAGTATCCAAATTCTCACAGATATTTTATATCCTCATTCCCATTCTTTCTATGCTCCTTTTGTCTGAATATGACACAAGTTTGTGCCCTTGAAGGGCTTGCAGGAGACAGTGTTCATCAGTCTTCTTGCACACCAGCTGAGCTGGTTCCTTGGAGGCTCTGCAGAGGCCCCCATCTCTACAATTTCAGAGGCCCAATCCAGCAAAACTGAATCAGCATCTGATCTTGTGGTTCATAGACTAAAGAAGCAGAGAAAAAATGTAGAATATCATATTATCTTCAAAGAAGCAATTGTTGACACAAGCAGAGATAAATCAGTGCTAACTCCAGCATACACGTGTAGTGTTTGAACCTTACATTTTGTATCATCTTTGACAACTTCAAGATGCTTTCATATACAATATGAAATTGTGCTTGTGGCCTTGCCTCTGCATTCTGGATATAAGGGCCAGTTTCACTTGCTCACTCGTGAATTCCAGGAACACACACACACACACACATGGGCATGATTGCACACTTACACAGTCTCTCACACACTTACACTTTCACCTGCCCTTACACTGATCTACCCTCACTCTCTCATACCTATACCCCTCACCCAGGGTCACACACATCTCACATGCACTCCCTTACACACTCACACTCACATACAGTGAAGTCCACTGCTAGCCCCCATGGCTGGGCTGGGATGTGCATATCTCTTTCCCCTTTGCTAAAGCGTCACTCACTCTGGCTCCAGAAAACTGGAGTTGATGGAGGCTTATGCTGAAGTATTGTTAATCTAATCGACAAAACACTAAGAATTTATCTGCCTGCAAGATATATTTTGTACAGCAAATAAAGCTTTTTTTCCCCCTGTTTGTCTCCCCCAAACAATCCCCATGAAACAACCTGCCACCCTGTTTGGCTTGGCACGTGATGTTTTCAAGGGCAAAGCGCTTGCGTGGTCTTTATGTGCCCCTAAGACTCAGGTGACATGGGCAGGGCAGAGAGCTGCCTGAGGGCGCTGGGAGCATGGCCCGGGTGCTGACCTGGGGAGAGAACTCCTGGTCTCCGGTGCTCCTGGAAGCCACAGTCTGGATTTCTGTGAGGGTAGGAGATTTGAGGCAGGGGATACAACGTGAGTTTAGTAGAGAAAAATAATAATTTCCCATTGTTTTGCCTCCAGATTGTGCCTGCCCACCACCTGCAGCATGCCCGCTTGCCAGGTGCGCCTTGCTGGCCTCGGGGATGCGGGAAGAAGCTTAATGCACCTGCCTTCCCTTCCCCATCACTCCTGAGGCAGCCCCTTCCACATCCCTTCCCACCACGCTGTACTTCTCTGAGCCTTAGTGATGGGCGGTAGGTCCTGAGGGAGCAGAGGTTCAGGGAAGAATATGGAGCAAGCCCCTCCTCACCACCCCATAGTGGGATGTTCTTCCTGGGGCCCTGTCACTCACTCACCCTGCCCTGCAGACAGTGAAACAGCGCTGTCTTACCATTCTGCACATTTTGTTGCTGCATGTGGACCAGACTGCATCTGCTGAAGCACAGGACCCTCATCCAGCAAAGAGGGACCAGGCATCATCATCATCCAAGAGGGGACTGTCAAGAATTCCCCCAAATAGGCTTTTATTTTTAAAAGTTTGGTTCAATACCTAACAACAAAAAAATGCTTCTCATCAAATGCCTGTTTGTTCAAGCTCCTAATGTTTCCTTGCACAGACAAGCTCTTGTGGAAATGTCATTAACACAAAAGTATCCATTATACACTGCAACTTTATGACTTTGTTTACTCTGGGTGTGGAGGCGGGGGAGCTGTGTCACAGGTGGTCAAGTCTATAGGACTTCCAGGGTCAAAAGTTAACAAATTTGGGGAAACAGAGGAGAAAAAAAAATAGCATGCAGTATTCTGTTTTGCTGTTAAAATGGAGGAAACAACGAGTAATCAGAACTGTAATTTATGGGCAAGTGTGCAGACATCCATCTGCTTTTATTGAAACAATATCCTGCAGATGTTGAGTCTAATTGTGAATCTGCCATTTTCTTGTTGAATAACTTTAGTGGAATCTCCATTTCGGATCAGTAAACTGGGTGCCGTAGCACTTACAAAATATAATTATTTAATTGATCTTTAGACACCTATAATTTTTATGTAGATGAGGGCTTGCAGCATGAGACTGCTCATTCTGGAGGTAAGTGTCTGAATACTAAATGTTGGTTTCATTCCCGCAGGTTCCCAGCAAACAGGATTCCTCAATGCCCTTAAGGACAGTCCTGCAAGATATCCTTTCTGGTGGCTCTGATGGTGCAGTGCTGATATGTTCATGTTTCACTGAATCCACACTCCTACCTCCTCATCTTTGGCCTTGGCTCTTCTTCCCATAAATCTTACTCTTTTTTGTTCTGTAAAGCAGCCAGGAACTCCCTAAGAGTCACTTGCATGATAAATAGCATCTGAACCCTTGAATCTCTTAGCAACTCATCCAGCGTCTAAATTGAAGTGCTTTTCAGTGTGAAAGCCAAGTACCGACTCTTGCCCACCTCCAAAAGCCAGCACTGATTTGTGTCAAGTCAGGTTGGGCTGGAAAGAAGTAGGGCTATGAACTCCTCCTGAGCTGGTTTTAATGGACAGGTGATCCCTAGGAACACCCGGTGAGGGTCTGCTGCGAGGTGTTGCAGTAGCCATCTGAGACCCCGCACGCTCTCTGGACAGATGGTGTTGGGAGGTCAGTGTGACATTCTTTGGGAAGTGAAGATGATGACCTGATAGTTTCTAGAAACAGAACTCCCTTTCACAACCCCCAAGGGACTGAGAATGGTCAATCTCAAGTCATTTACATCAACGAGGACCATTTCCCATCCTCCCAAATAGGAAATATGGACACATACCACAATATTTTGAATTTTGAAAGAAAAACATCCACCCATTGAGTGCTGGCTTGGGCTTCCATCTGGATAGCCCCAGGTTGACACTGGTGTGGAGATGGTCAGTTGGACCCCTGACCTGTTTCCCTGGACCCAGCTCTTTCTTCATGTAACTGGGTAAACTGTACTTGGATTCCTCATTACTCTCACGTGTGGCATTCATTTTGTCTTAGAGAATCCTATCACCTGTTCATATCAGGTACTTTTCTCTGCTGGGAGTTGAACCCAGGGCCTTGCACTGCTAGGCAAGTGCTCCACCCCTGGGTTACATCCCCAGCCCCTTATCATGTGCTTCTTAAAGTGGTCCATGTCCCTTAAAGTAAAGTGATGGTGGTGGTACTTGGATCTGAAAAGTATCTTTCTGGCACCTCTGTGTTTCTGTGCCCCGTAGGATGTTGGTTACAAGTCCAGTTTCTATAGTCAACTAATACCTTTTTAATGCACTTATATTATGGAAGGGGACTAGGGACAGACAATGTACAAAGGGGACCTGGAGGATAAATGCCATAGATGTGGCCTGCCTTGTTAATGATGTGGGAAGCTGGAGTTTGCTAGAAGTTGGCTAGAAGAAAAGGTAGCCCAGGGAGTGCCTAAAAGCTCATCAGTGTGAGTAAGAACAAATCCAATGAGAAACATCATCCTACCCAGGGTGACCATCTTCCTACCACATTACCTCCCTGGACCCTCCTATTTCCAGGGTCGAAAAGCCTCCTTTGCTGAAAGAAGACAGGCTCATCTCTCAGGGAATCAGTGGCATCACGAACCCTGGTCATTGAGGCATGATGGATGAGGCTGACTGCGACATCACACCTCCACAAAATCTGTCCTTTTGACTGACAGCAGTGCTGCTCACACAGCTGGTCTCCTCTGGAGCAGAGATCTGGGAAGTCCTGAGCTCTTAACATTAGAGGAGTTTGCTAGGCGACATTGCCTGAGCACAGGACTGCAGTCTAATGCCACCTTCCCAAGTGCACAGTGCTCTCGGGCAAGAAAGTAACCTGTGTTTTCACACTTTCAGTGGCCTCACACCTGATCTCCTGACCATGGTATAAAAATATTGTCCTGAGAAATCAGAGCACAGGCAAAGGCCTCTCATATCCAAGTAAAAACAATGTTGTTGAGGAAGTGACAGAGAATAGAAATGGCTAATTAACAACCAACCAAGCCACCTTCTCAGAAGTATCCATGTAAATGACGTGCACCTTGATCAACTACCAGTGCCTTGCAGCCCTTGGAAAACCCGGCAGGACTGAAGGATAAGAACCTGCCTGCCATTACAATAGGGAAGTCTAGCAGGGTGGTGTGTCCAACCTGCAGTGTGGCCAGCTGGGAGGCTGGGAGGTGGGAGATCCCAGGAGCAGGCCCTTCCCCGTCTGGGCCCACAGCCCTGCTGGAGGTGCAGGAGGAGCCGAAGACCCTGGCTGCTGGGAGGGAGCACTCCCAGCCCCAGCCCTGGCCTGCTGAGCCTCCCTGTCTCCCTTCTCCTCTTTCCTCCCCACCTTCCATTGCCTGCCCATGGACTCCCCTTTGGTCTTTGCATCCAAGAAGCTGAAGCCTTGGGGAGGGGGCCTCTCAGGGCCAGTGGGCAGTGGGGTGCTGCTGGCCTTCCCCAGGGAAAGAGATGAAAGGAGAATCTTCTCCAAAAACATGGGAGGGGCCCTCAGTCTACCCAGCCAAACCGTTTGAGATCCAGTTGGCAGCTCTTTCCTACAAATCCCTTTCCTGAACGCGGCCAGACCTGCAGTGACAAGGTCTAGAACAGCCCACCCTGGCCTTGGGAGCACCGTCAGTCCAAAGGGCAGAGGGGGCGGGGGCGGGGGATGAGCCAGATCACAAACATGCTGGCTCCTTCTCCTCCTCAAACTCCTGCTGATGCCCGGGTCGGGGCTGTAAGGGCATGTCTTAAAGCACACTGAGTTTTAGGCACCATAAAAAGACACAGATTGCACTTGGCATGGGAGTCAGGAGAAGCTGCACGTGCTACACAGAAAGGCGGAGGCTGAGGGCGTCTGAGCAGGTTTTGGAAATGGAGAGTGGGGGGTTCTAGCAGGGGCCTGGGGGAGGGGCACCGAGGAGCCTGAGCCAGGCCTGGAGGCAGATGCAAGGGTGTGTTGGGGTAGATCCCAAGCCTGGCATTGGGTCCGCTCTCCCAAGGACCCACACAGTGCCCAGCAGGTTGTTGGGCATCTGGAAGTGCAGGGCGCCCAGCCCGCCTTTGCTCACACTCAGGTCCTGGGGAAACAGGGAGGCACTGTGACAGCTAAGTCCTGGTGGGGCGGAGGGTGTGTGACAGCGTGAAGCCTGAAGGCAGTGGGGTCCTTTCACCCGCTGAATGCTGGGGAACCAGGCATAATTTCGGAGTGCGTGGCATCATCAGAGCTGGCTTGTCATTTTATTTCTCAAGAATATTCATCTTACAGCAGGGAGCATGACAGAGTGAAGTGGTGAGTGGAATAATGTGCACAGGAAAGAGCCCCAGATGGAAATCAGTGACGAGGGGACACTCAGTGGGAACCAGCAGGGCAGTGTGGACATGGGAGCCTTGTCGTGGGAGGGGTGAGGGCCAGGAGGAGACAAAGCTGATCCTGAGGGTCCTTCTCAGGGCGCCCTGGAGGAAGAGGGTCACAGTAGAAGGGGAGAGCTAGCACTGGATTGGGAGAAGCCACGAGTTCTGAGATATGTGTAAGAAGAACATTGAAGATCACACAGGTGGCCCTCCACATCGGCTCACAGCGACTTTAGGGTCCTCGGTAGCTCCTGCCTGTAAAATGGAGGGAGGGAAAAGATAAGTGCCTGAGAAGGTCCCAACCTCTTAGGAAACTACCAGTCAGGCCGGCTGGGAGCCACATGGTAATACCTGCTCACACACGGTGACATCTGCTTGCAGACTCCCCAGGCCCTCAGAGGAAGAAGCCTCAGAACTCGAGCCAGGAGAGCCAGGGGTCCCTGGGCATCCTCCAGGAAGACCCCAGAGAGGGGAACCCTGCCATCCACAATCACAGCAGTGTAGCCTGACATTATGGCCCCACTAAAGGGATTGTGGTCACTTTTAATCATGACTTACTGTCCAGTTCTCCCCAGATGACAGGATTTTCTGTGGCTGATAACTCAAATGGTAATTGATTCTGCATCTGTGGAAGCTTTCCACAGAAAGTCTTCTGGTCCCTAATCTGCACTCACTGGGACACTTCCCCATCTGGAGGGCACCATGGCCTCATGGGCATTGTCCGTTTTTATTGTCCATTTTAATGGAATTTAATGGCGGGCTCAGAGCTGGCCCGAGTGCATCACGTGGCACCTTCCCTGGCCTGTCCATCCTGATAGCTGTTGACATTCAGAGGGACCCCAGAAAATGGAAGAACTGTGCTCCTGCTCACTGCAACACCCGGGCACCAGTGAATGTTCCACAGGGACCAAAGCCACAACCTGGTTCTCCTAACTCCAGCCTTGCTCCCCGCAGGGAATGAGATGCTCCCCTCTCCCACAACCAGTCAGATTGGGGGAGTTTCATGAAGAATAAGCATCAGATTGTATCTCATAAGATTCCAAAGTGGGGGAGGTTGCTCAGTTTTTAAAATCACCCCAGTGAAACATGAGTGCTTTCTGATTGTAAAAATGTTTCTAATAGCCAGGAAAATAAGAGTGAAAAAGGAAATGTTGACCCTTGCTCCATTCGTTGGTAGGAAGCCTGGCCAGTTTCTGTATGTCCTTCCAAAGTCTCCACAGAGCTGGACACACACATGTGCTTTCATATACCTGTATCTGACCAGGGGATTGTTAGTACCTGAAAAGGGTCCCACCGTTTGCCTTGTTTTATAATCTGATTAATTATTTCCTGGAGATATTTCTGCATTAATATATAAATCTACTTCATTCTTTTTTGCACTGCTTTATAAAATTCCAAGTGTACATAGGATAGTTCATTCTTCGATAGATGGATAATTAGATCTCTTAGTTTTTTAACTGGTCAAAAAAAAAATGAGATAGTGAGTTTTCTTCTATGTGGATCTTTGTGCACAAGGTTGGCATTCATCTGGGATTGATAACTAGTTGTGGAATCTCTGAGTTGAAAGTTAAGCACATTGTAAATGTTGGTAGACCTGACAAAGCAAACGGTCCTCTAAAGAGATTGCACCAACTTATCACCCCCACCCCTAACAGCCTCGACAGCACTTGGTATCAGTCTTGGCATTTTTGCTAATTTGAAGGGGAGAAAAATATCTCATTGTTCTAATTTCTATTTTCTGTATGATAATCATGTTACACATGTTGGTTTTTTCTCTCTTATCACAAGGTACCAACTCATACCCGTGGTCCATTTTCTTCATGGGGTTATTGTTTCTTTTCTGTTTACAC